AATAATTTCCACGTTGACAAAGTTTTGAGGAAATTTGGCAAATATCACTAGAATCACAAACCAAACGTGACCACTTTTATTTCCTATATACCGGTAAGTCCAGACATTTCTGGATATTGATATGCTAAAGTCTACATTGATAATGTTGTATGTGTATCCATAAATAACAACTGACAGTTGTTTGTGTATCATGTGCATTGTTAACATGTTGTGGAAAGGATGTAAAACTTATATTGATAAACATTTGTTTGTATATATGTACACATATACATATAACTTACCAAATTTGGAAATATTATGGAAAACAACATGGCTACAATTTACCAAAAGATAAAATAATGGTATCGTAGTTGGTGAAACAAAAATCAAATCATCATTCCTGTTCCTCTTAAGTATCAAAGTTATGGCATGATTTTAATAAGATCATTGAGACAAAGCACAATCATGTTTGAGCAAATGAATTAAGTTGATCCACTTCAAAGGTCACAGGGGTCAAACCTGGTAAAACATTTAAACAACTTCTTCTAAATATTTGGCCTGATTAGCAATTGCTTGGGTCAATTAGGGCTGTTACATTTGGACTTTTAATACTTTCAAAGCTGAAGTGGTCAAGACATTTAAACACCTTCTAAACAACCATTTTTCACCATTTTGTTATGCTTGGATGATGGGAAATTAATTTTGTTAATTTTTTTTTACCATGACTCACACTGAAGGTCACAGTGATTAAATATGCCAAAACCTCTTTGAGCCTTGCTTTTTTCTAATTTTTGACCTGGTCTGGATTTAACTTTTAATACCAAAAATTCCTGGATAAAAATTTGGTTCACATAATTAAATTCACAATAAATATATCAACAAGATCAGTGATATTTGGCGGTGTAGTTTCTGTGGAATAAAGTATAGCAGTATGGAAGTCAAAGCAGACAGCTTTTTCTCTTAAAATTTACAACTGTTTTAACATTCTTTAAACATCTAGCTACAATGTATGCTATTTTCTAACAGCTTCATTTTTAGTGGAACCTACTTGTGAGAAGAATTTCTTTGTTGGACAAACTCAAATATTACATAGTGGGACATAATGTTTTGTTAGTAGAAGATATATTTTGAGTAAAAGCTGCCATGGGATAAATCAATTATAAAACTTAATTGAAATCTTAGGATGCATAATGATCTACTCTAGTATTCATGCAATGTCCACACTAGAAGGTGTGTATATAAATGTATTACACAATCCTCCAATTAAGTATGTGTATAGGTGATCCACAATCCTACAGGTAATATACATTATAAACATGACTACGACTGTCCTTTAGCTTGGGCCATAGTTATTTTTGGTCATATCTATCTACAACTAGAATTTTATTTTTGTGAACAAAAACATATGTCTCTCCTTAATAGCCAATAGCCAACCTTGGTATAAAAAATTAACAATGGGCCACATCTCTTTATATAGTGGGGCACGAGACCCGAATTTAGAATGCGACACTCCTACTTCCCAAGATACATTAAAATTTTCGCAAATTTAGTCAACGTAGGTGAAATAACATGGAAGTAATGCCGTTGACAAACTTCAGTATATAAAATAAACAAAGGTCCATAACTCTGTATATGATGTGGACAAGAATTTTATTGAAAATGTTGCTCTTATTTGACCTTTGACCTTGAGGTAAAGGTCACAGTGACCTAATTCCAGTGCACTGCACACCCTCTGTGGGTGATGCATGCATACCTAAAGTTTCATCAAGATATTTTTAACAGTCTAAAAGTTATGGCCTGGACAAGTTGCGATTGGAAGAACAAGAAGAAGAACCAGAAGAACCAGAAGAAGAACCAGTACTAATACAATATGTCTCCCTTTATTCGAAGGGGAGACATAATAATAAAGTGGTGATTTCAGATCATCTCCACATCATTATAGATCTCTCCCACACATATACATTATCAAGAACCTGCAAAAATTAGGTTTATATCGACATTAAAACAAACTAGCAGTTTAGGGTCCTTTAAAACCCACCTGAAATTTCCTTTTTAGTTAAAACCCTGTTGAATATAATACATGTGCATCAAAAGAGTACAAGCAATATAAGATGAGAATATGGTAACATGATTAAAAGTCCTCAAGGGCTGGCAATACCCCAGTGGCATCATGGTAGCATATGTGTATTTGTCTCTCTAAGATCTCCGTAAATTCTGAGAAATAGCGATAACAAACTTTCAGTCTCAAATTTGATCTGGTTGGCTGTCGGCCATCTTGGTTTTGTGATCAGTCCCAAAATACGGTATGCATAACTTGGGATCAAGGGGAACCTTCATGTGAGATTTGATAAAGATCACTCCAGTACGTTTGGAGAAATAGCGCTAACAATCTTCAACTTTCAAATTAAAGATGGCTGCCTGTAGGCCATCTTGATTTTGTGATCAGTCCCAATAAACAATATGCATAAGGAAGGACAATGGGGAACCTATATTTGACATTTGAGAAATATCCCTCCAATGCTTTTTGAGAAATAGTGCTAACAAACTTTCATTCTCAAATTCAAGATGGCTGGCTGTCGGCCATCTTGGTTTTGTGATTAGTCCCAAAATTTGATATGCATAACTAGGGATTATGGGAAACCTTTATGTGACATTTGAGAAAGATGCCTCCAGTACTTCCTGAGAAATTACGCTAACAAGAATTGTTTAAGGACGAATGGTCGGGGTCGGACGGATAGTCGGGGTCGGGGCCAGACGGATGGTCGGACAGACGGACGGACGGACTACAGACGCAGGGTGATTTGAATAGCCCACCAGGTGGGCTAAAAATATGGAAAAATTGCATGCTATTTTAACTGACCCAATGCTAAGTTTAAGTTTACTAAGGAATGTTATAACAACCTGAGGCTTCTATGTTATACTGCACTAAGTGAAAGTTCTTTCTACATGTATATATCTTTATCTTCTCCCATTGTTCCTAACAAAGATCTATAAATATTTAAAAAAACTTGTCTCTTGACTGTCCTCCAATTCCACCTTTAGTGCAATCTCTTTGAGTATATGTGACACCTGTAAGATAATCAATTTCCTAAATTACCCATTGAACCTTACTTGATAGAGAGGATTATCTAATCACAACATATTACGTCACTCTTCCGGGTTTCAGGAGATAACATTTTGCCTTTCATAGGCAGTTTTTTTATGAAACCTGATATCAATGAGCATCTGACCGAAAATTATCTGCACTTTACCTGCATGCAATTTTTACAAAGCTTTAAATGCTGTAAAATATCATATTTTTATTAACTTTGAGACCAATCTGATACTTAAATTTAAGTATTGTTCTTTGAGGTAGGATTTTTAATTAGAAGAACAACCAACATCCTGAATTCATTGATGATCTCCAATGTTGTTATAATGACCTCACAAACGACATAATTCTCAACTAATTCTCAACACACAACTAGTGATTTTGTTAACAACCATTGTATACACACAAAAAAAAGTTGAGAAGATAGTGACATTGCGACACTTTCTCAGTTTATATATTTTGTCGTGTTAAACATAATAAAACTGACCAGTTTTACTCTCTGTATTCAGGTATTTTTTGTTTGTCCTTTAAATCTTATATTTTATATGATTATTGAGGAAGACCTAACACCTGCACCTGTACAATGTCCAGCAGGGTTTTTGTTAAGGAGATACCTCTGTCAACTGATACAGCCACCACCCACCACAGGGACATGTCACAATATAAAGTATATTTAAAGTAGTATAACTTTACATATACTGTAATGCCCTTGTATCTTCAGTTATATATAGCAAGTGACATGTCCCTGTGACACCCGCCCTTCAGGCCTGCACTCAGCTGACATGGGGTATGTAAATGCAATTTTGTGTTGTCAGGTCAGTTCTAATATGATGACAGATAAAGTTGTGACCTCATTTAGCCAGTAGACTGGTTTATACCACAGGGGAAAGGTGGTCAATTAGCAACAGGTTTAATACCAATGTATATGTGTACATACATGTATATACAAACATGATGTAAATGTCTTTATACCTTACATACTTGTGAAGAAGATTGCAACCATTTATATATAAACTGAAAGCGGTTAAATGCATAGTTGAGATGTGTATTGTAAGGCTTTGATGCAGTTTGTGAATGTCCTTGGAAGAAGAATGTGACTGGTGTCAAAAGACACCTGTTGCTGAGCTCCCATCCTGGTTTTTTGGATGATAATGCATTATGCACGACATAGGTGAAGCCTGCACGAGGTCCTAGTCATTGTTCACATCCTGTCTGCTGATTTATTGCCATATTGTACACATCACATAATTCCGAGATTCACTTCTTGCTCAAACTGATTACAGTATGTCTTATAGCCTGACCAGCTATCTCTCACAGCATTGCTTTACTAAGCCGTTTCACAACATTACAGTGAAACATCTTTGCCACCAATTAGTGTTATAGAAGGATTCAGGAGCATATCAAGGGTGACATAAACAGAAATTATTTTATAAAAAGGAAATAAATAGGGACCTTGAGATATGTTGGTGGTTAAAACAAAATGGCAAATGAAAATAAGGGCATTATATAAACATTAAGGTTTTTTTGTATGTATTTACCTGTATTATAATGTGTGCATTAAAAGAATCTTTACCATTATATTGTGTACTGGGTTTAAATGCAGTAAATCACCATTGCAGTACATACTAAGCTATATATATAATATCACCTCAATCTTGAAAGGTTTTTGCAAATTGTCACACCCACTCTTTCATTCTGTCTCACCGACCCTCGATCCACCTTTGAACTTTAGATTATCTTTAACATCTTTTTTCACCAGGGGATCTGAATGACTATGTCCTAGATGTTAGTTTATTCCAATGTGTGTGACCTTATAAAATAATTCCTATGAGATAGTTACTTTTGATGTGACATAGTTAGATAAGTCCAACAGACAGGACATAGAGGGACTATAGTCCTATAAAAGTGACTTAGTTAAGTTAGTACTCACCTACATCCTCTGTGCCTCCTCTACAGGTTGACCTTGCGATTCCGCCGACCTTGAGCAGTGACTCGGAATATGCTCTGGCTGATGCAGTTAGACCTATAAATAGAATGTATGAGGACTCATTTGCATGCGATTGATTTGTGTCCTAATTCCATCAAACAATAAAAGCATTCTATATCAATAGATCTTCCAAAATTATACCTTTTTAATTCCATTTTTTCCTCCCCTCTCCCAAAACCCTTAATATTTAATTTACATGTATACAATTTTTATGACAATTTTGTACTTTTCATTTGTACCTAAAGTAATATAAATGAACTCTTTTTTTTTAAAACATGAATGTTCTACTTTAATGTGAAGTAGATTTTTAAGTAGAAGTATGTCCCATGAAAAGTAGCAATGAAAATAAAATATAAATGCACCTCCACCACAACCACCACCACACACATACGAACACACACACAAATTTACAATAATTAAATTTGGGGCCAGTGAACTTTTTCCAAATAATCAAAAAAACAGCATTACGCACTGTTCTGATGCAAATACATGCATGTATCACAATTCAATTAATTTTTCTATAATTAACCATGCAAATACTTTTTCAAGTTTTCCAGCAAAAGGTGGAAGTCATTTGTCTCTTTATCTAGCAGTACATTAAACAATAAATCACTTTGATAATTTCTCATAACCTCAGCTAGGTGTACTTAGATGAGGCTTCATTTCCCTGTATAACTGTAGGCCATTTTACTGACAATGCAGTCTAGTGCTGAAGCTATATGTCAAATGTGATTGGTTGGTGTGAGGTCAAGACAGGTCATGTGTGACAAACAGTGGCCAGACTTCTGAGAATGACAGGTTACCTTGGAGGGCTTTGTGGTAGGCTTTCCCACATAACAGGACCTGTTTTATCCCTGGGTTAAAGTTCTCCGTTAGACCCTGAAAAAGAGCATACCAACAATATAAATATTTGTAACATTATGCACAGTATGAACAGTGGTCAATATAGGAGGATCTTATTTTCTATATCAAGATACAATAATTTGTAGAAAAAAAATCGAAAAAAAAGCAATTTCTTTTACGCAATATAATTCATTTTGCAGGGCTGCAGAACCAGAGAGAGAAAGAGAGAAGTGGGTTACAGGGTGGGGGGAGGGATGGCATCATTTAAAATATGTTCACGAACACAAAACAGAAGTTTGTTTTCAAAGCATCACTTTTTACCAAACAGTTTCTTTATAGGGATTGCGAGAAAAACAACAATTTTCCAGTTTGGTGATTGAATTTTTGATCATCCATCCCTTGAGGACAAGTTTGAAAAATTGATATACAATACTTTATCACATAACCAATGTTATGTGATAACATTGGTTACTGTTCATGAGCTTCCTAATACATAGTTAATTCAAGGTTCAGGGTTTTACCATTAGGACTGTTCTTAACGCGACATAGAAATCAACTGTTATCATAAATGACATCAGGAGTGTGAACAGCGTTCGGCTCGCATGGAATGTCATGTTTTATACTCCTGCCCTTGACAAATATGTCCTCTATGAATATTCTAAACACACACAGTCACTCCATGATTTATGAAGTGTCATGTACGCACCAGAAGTTTAATTAATTAAACAATTCCACTTGAGACATCGCGAGTAATAATGTCAACAAAAGAGTTTTTTAGGAATCACTTTCGGTACAATTTAGGTGAATACAGGTTTAGTTACGTGCACTGAATGAGCGATAAATCACCACCACTGTGACCAGATATATCACCGACCAAACTGGAATCCTCATGAGACAGGATTTTTTCCCTATTTTTCAAAATCTTAAAACTTACATTGACAACTGCATTTAAACTGAAAGAGACATTCAATAATTATATGTAGAGTCATGAAAGGTGTCAACAATTACTAAGTCTCTATCTTGAATTTCTCTTATGATTAAAGATATATTTCTTTAACATTTTTTTTATATTTTATCTGAAGATTAAATTAAAAACTATTCCATAACAACCAACACCAAACAATTAATACAAATAGAACACACCTAGCTATAGCACTAACAAATAGAACACACCTATAGATATAGCACCGACAATACAGGTGCACCATCCCACTACCTGTGGACTTCGTAGGTGGTGTTTACACATATTGTGAAATGTTTAAGTGAAGTTTAAGATAGAAGAGGATTTAAGGCCAAGTTTTCCCTTTGTAATTGATGTTTTTTTATTTGTGCCAAAAGTAACACAATATAACTACTAAGTAGCATAGCCAATGTCATGTAGATGTCTTTTAAATGATACTTAATTTCACTTTTATTTCATCCTCATCTGTTTTTTATTATTGTTAATGACCTCTGGAAAGTGGTCAATAGTTGACAAGGAGGTATGAAGCATTGCCCTAGAATGTATAAGTCGCTGGCAGGAGTACAGTCAAATCTGTACCAAGATATCCCACCCATTCACTAAGGGAAATCTCAAAAGAGGTCTCTAATGTGGATTAAGTATTATCAAACTGTAGAGGGAATAAACTGCTTAGAATGGATGAGAAAATGGTTAAAACTTAAACTGTAGCAGTTATAAATATGAAAATGTTAACTGGTTATATAGGCATTACAAGAAAAGAATATTGTAAAGATGTATTCAGGTGTAGATTATTACACTATTTTGTCAATCACTTTATCAAAAAGGATTTCTTAAGGATCACGTGTTGATCTCTATACTACTGCATCAATGTAGAAACTTCAGATCAATATAGACCCCTCAGATCAAGGCGGGATTTCTAGACACTTTATCAATATAGACCCCTCAGAACAAGGAAGGATTTCTAGACACTTTATCAATATAGACCCCTCACAGCAAGGAGGGATTTCTAGACACTTTATCAATATAGACCCCTCAGAACAAGGAAGGATTTCTAGACACTTTATCAATATAAACCCCTTAGATCAAGGAAGGATTTCTAAACACTTTATCAATATAGACCCCTCACAGCAAGGAGGGATTTCTAGACACGTTATCAATATAGACCCTTCAGAACAAGGAAGGATTTCTAAACACTTTATCAATATAGACCCCTCAGATCAAGGAAGGATTTCTAAACACTTTATTAATATAGACCCCTCACAGCAAGGAGGGATTTCTAGACACTTTATCAATATAGACCCCTCAGATCAAGGAGATATTTCTAGACACTTTATCAATATAGACCCCTCACAGCAAGGAGGGATTTCTAGACACTTTATCAATATAGACCCTTCAGAACAAGGAAGGATTTCTAAACACTTTATCAATATAGACCCCTCAGATCAAGGAAGTATTTCTAAACACTTTATCAATATAGACCCCTCAGATCAAGGAAAGATTTCTAAAGACTTTATCAATATAGACCCCTCAGATCAAGGAGGGATTTCTAGACACTTTATCAATATATACCCCTCAGATCAAGGAAGGTTTTCTAAACACTTTTTCAATATAGACCGCTTAGATCAAGGAAGGATTTCTAAAGACTTTATCAATATAGACCCCTCAGATCAAGGAAGTATTTCTAAACACTTTATCAATATAGACCCCTCAGAACAAGGAGGGATTTATAGACACTTTATCAATATATACCCCTCAGATCAAGGAAGGATTTCTAGACACTTTATCAATATAGACCCCTCAGAACAAGGAGAGATTTCTAAAGACTTTATCAATATATACCACTCAGATCAAGGAAGGGGTCTAAAGACTTTATCAATATAGACCCCTCAGATCAAGGAAGTATTTCTAAACACTTTATCAATATAGACCCCTCAGAACAAGGAGAGATTTCTAAAGACTTTATCAATATATACCACTCAGATCAAGGAAGGGGTCTAAAGACTTTATCAATATAGACCCCTCAGATCAAGGAAGTATTTCTAAACACTTTATCAATATAGACCCCTAAGAACAAGGAGAGATTTCTAAAGACTTTATCAATATAGACCCCTCAGATCAAGGAAGGTTTCTAAAGACTTTATCAATATAGACCCCTCAGAACAAGGAGGGATTTATAGACACTTTATCAATATATACCCCTCAGATCAAGGAGGGATTTCTAAACACTTTATCAATATAGACCCCTCAGATCAAGGAGATATTTCTAGACACTTTATCAATATAGACCCCTCACAGCAAGGAGGGATTTCTAGACACTTTATCAATATATGCCCCTCAGATCAAGGAGGGATTTCTAAACACTTTATCAATATAGACCCCTCAGATCAAGGAGGGATTTCTAGACACTTTATCAATATATACCCCTCAGATCAAGGAGGGATTTCTAAACACTTTATCAATATAGACCCCTCAGAACAAGGAGAGATTTCTAAAGACTTTATCAATATAGTCCCCTCAGAACAAGGAGGGATTTCTAGACACTTTATCAATATATACCCCTCAGATCAAGGAAGGTTTTCTAAACACTTTTTCAATATAGACCCCTTAGATCAAGGAAGGATTTCTAAAGACTTTATCAATATAGACCCCTCAGACTAAGGGGAGATTTATATAGACCCTCAGAACAAGGAGGGATTTCTAGACACTTTATCAATATATACCCCTCAGAACAAGGAGGGATTTCTTGACACTTTATCAATATAGACCCCTCAGAACAAGGAGAGATTTCTAAAGACTTTATCAATATATACCACTCAGATCAAGTAAGGTTTCTAAAGACTTTATCAATATATTCCATTCAGATCAAGGAAGGTTTCTAAAGACTTTATCAATATATACCACTCAGATCAAGGAAGGTTTCTAAAGACTTTATCAATATATTCCATTCAGATCAAGGAAGGTTTCTAAAGACTTTATCAATATAGACCCCTCAGGTAAAGAAAAGATTTGTAGACACTTTATCAATATAGATCCCTAAGATTAAGTAGATTTTTACTCTTATTTACCAAGGTTGATCCCTCAAATCAATTGTAGATTACATGACAAATCTGCACATACTTAGTATATATTTTGACTGTTTTCTCTTCTGATTATGACCCATCCCCTCCTAGACTAACATATTATCATAGTTTCCAGAAACGCATCATACAAAGTGTTATGAATTTTTTCTTTGTAAATCAGAGTGAAATAAATTATACAAGAGATACATGTATACACATTGTGTATTGTTGTGTCAAGTTTTGCTGCGAGTTCCCACCACATGTCAGCACATATATATGTACAGGTAAACAAACGTCTCCTGCCATGGTAAGGTCAACTTTTCACCATCTGAGCAAGCCTAAGGTGGATGTTCTTATTCAGAATGTATTGGATTAATCTTTATACTATTCAATAGACTTGTATACAATTTCCTATCCAAAGGAAGCATGACATAAATATTCTTGGTTAAAAAAACTATGATATTAGTTTTATACACTCAGTATTATACTGAACATCCGGCATGATCACCCCAGCCCTGGCCCTAACACCAGACTTAGACATTTTGACATATAGATGTCTGGTCTAATGTCAAAATGTCCAAGTCTGGTGTTAGGGCCAGAGGAAACTTTGGCTAGATCACCCCAGAAACGTATATAACATACAATTATCAATTCATATAAGTATATTAATAACTCTGCCGTCCAATTATTCTCATCATGGCGCTGTTTTGAATAAATGTCTACATACTAATTTCATGGGGGTTTCTGTCCTCTCTACAGCCGAATGGTCAGATCAAGAAAGGCATTAATTCATATCTAAATTGATTGTATTAAGGCTTGTGTGGCGTGACTTAGCCACAACTTAGAAATACCGTAAATGGGGATTTATTGTGGCTGATTAAGCTGCTACATATCACAGAATGATGTGGCTTCAAGTCTAGCTTCAGCTGCTGAACACAGCGACCTTCACATTGGTATGATGAAGGTATGTCGACTGACCAGACCTCGGGATATAAAGTGTGTGGGCATACACGATTTTACCGTGCTCTAACGTTTGTGCTGATAAAGCTGTTCAATTTATACAGGTATACAACTTTACACATTAAACATGTATACTTGGTATCGATCTAGAGAACCGTTAGGTAAAGGTACACCTAGCGAAAGCTCAACAGGTGTGGCAGGCAATCTCAGCAATCTTACACCTACCAATATTTGTCCGTCAGAAAACCGTAATATAATTTCACCCTTACCCTGTATACCGCCTCAGTGTGTTGGTGTACTTCCTCAGAATTCTTCATATTTATCCGACCAAAATGTCACAGGTATCAACGTAACATCTCCACCGTACATATGACAACTACTACCTGCAGCAGACGTGCGCTTGTGTATATTGTTACCGTTATGTGTCAAGGGTCAAAGGTTAATCTGAGATGTTATCTGAAGCAGACGACACCTGGTGCGATAAATTCTACATGCACATATTTACCTGGAAACCTGTACACACCAGTCCAATGTATTTTGGTGTATCTTTCACGTAGATTTACACTGCCATAGAGAGTTATGATACCATTCAATTCTATTAAGGGGTATTTTATCTAAAATCTCGACATGGACATCTCCCGATCGCGATACGCATTTATTGTGACAATATAACACATAACACGACAACACATTTACCTAACACTTTAGTATCTGAATTCACGTTTACTGGACGTTGTCAAATGGTCATAATGTATCAGTCCAATAAGCTTAGCTATAAAGTGATACGTGTCATAGATAGTTATATAACCAAACATAGACAACGTTTTCAAAACTTAAATAATCTAATTCCGTGATAATAAAACAAGAACAAAACCAAATACAAATACAAACATATACACTGTTGGAAATAATCTCCTTTTGTGGAAGGTCCTTACTTCTTTTTTTATTTATAGAGCCTTTCTGAAAATATGAGTTAACATGCAGAACGAAGTATAAGTTATGGTGTAGAACGAAGTGTAAGCATAAGTTATGGTGTAGAACGAAGTATAAGTATAAGTTATGGTGTAGAATGAAGTATAAGTATAAGTTATGGTGTAGAACGAAGTATAAGTTATGGTGTAGAACGAATAATAAGTTATGGTGTAGAACGAAGTATAAGTATAAGTTATGGTGTAGAACGAATAATAAGTTATGGTGTAGAACGAAGTATAAGTATAAGTTATGGTGTAGAACGAAGTATAAGTATAAGTTATGGTGTAGAACGAAGTATAAGTTATGGTGTAGAACGAATTATAAGTATAAGTTATGGTGTAGAACGAAGTATAAGTATAAGTTATGGTGTAGAACGAAGTATAAGTATAAGTTATGGTGTAGAACGAAGTATAAGTAAAAGTTATGGTGTAGAACGAAGTATAAGTTATGGTGTATAACGAATTATAAGTATAAGTTATGGTATAGAACGAAGTGTATAAGTTATGGTGTAGAACGAAGCATAAGTTATGGTGTAGAACGAAGTGTAAGCATAAGTTATGGTGTAGAACGAAGTATAAGTATAAGTTATGGTGTAGAACGAAGTATAAGTATAAGTTATGGTGTAGAACGAAGAATAAATATAAGTTATGGTGTAGAACGAAGAATAAGTATAAGTTATGGTGTAGAACGAATTATAAGTATAAGTTATGGTGTAGAACGAAGTATAAGTATAAGTTATGGTGTAGAACGAAGTATAAGTATAAGTTATGGTGTAGAACGAAGTATAAGTATAAGTTATGGTGTAGAACGAAGTATAAGTATAAGTTATGGTGTAGAACGAAGTATAAGTATAAGTTATGGTGTAGAACGAAGTATAAGTATAAGTTATGGTGTAGAACGAAGTATAAGTATAAGTTATGGTGTAGAACGAAGTATAAGTATAAGTTATGGTGTAGAACGAAGTATAAGTATAAGTTATGGTGTAGAACGAAGTATAAGTATAAGTTATGGTGTAGAACGAAGTATAAGTATAAGTTATGGTGTAGAACGAAGTATAAGTATAAGTTATGGTGTAGAACGAAGTATATAAGTGATGGTGTAAGTTCTGGTAATACCATATTTCGATGCAAGTTATATGACATCTATATAATGCACAATTAACATACACAAAGTAGGAAAAACAGTTCTAAGTTTTGGGTTTGTTTGCGTTACAGCTAAGGTCATTATATGAAGCCAGGCGCGTTGGGAGACACTTCCGTGATATAGAGTAGAGAAGTAAGAAAAGAGATACGGATCCGACGAAACCTCGGGTTCTAGTACTAAGGCAGCGTAAAGGAACGCACCGGTATAAGTATGGTGTACTTGTCCCTATTTTGACATAAACATGACCAATAGTTAAATCAAAAATAACATTTTTTTCCCCGGCAGATTTAGATATCTTTTCTTTGATCTGTCCATAATCAGAAAAGAAAGTCTTGGATGTGTGCCGCACGCTTATTTTTAACGGCCGTCAAAGTTGCTACTTTGAACAATATGCAACAAAACATGAGGTTTTTACAGCCTTTTAATGCGTTTTTAAAACCGAACTCATTCATGAACCACCAACTCCTGGGCTGTTGAATTTAATCATTCGTGTCATCAAATAAAACCAAAATTTCTATTATGAAAAAGCGGTACAAACATGCACTTTTATCGAAAATTTGAAAAAAAAAAAGACCAAAGTTTTACAAAGGCGGATCCAAGGGATTTATCAGGTTATCAGATTTCATCTTAAACAAAGATACTAAGGTGTTAATAGTCCGATCCCCGCACTCTGTACTTCGAGCCATCCTAATGATGACGTATGAATATCATCCTTGGGGTGGGGGATTATACCAAAAGTTAAACTTCACACATAAAACGTGTAAAATTACTCTGAACACCTTAGTTTAGGTCAACATATAGCTGTAGCAAATTCTCAGGTCCCATGGCTCTTAATATTATGTATTTTCTCTCCTCCCTCGAATTTTCATTACAAAATCGAAGGCTATGAAGTAGACAAGTTTTATTTCTTTACTGAAAATCAATTTCAGAATCGCGCGGCAGTGCAACGGTATTAGCTACTCTGTAGTCGGCTTGGTCCGAGGTTCTGTATCACTGCGGGTCGGCACGCGAACAAACCTTCTGTTTTTGTTTTGCCGGACCGTTTACGATCTCGCTTTGGGTTCATCGCGCAGACTGCTTCAAAATTTGGTTTTAGATACGAAACGAACTATATAACCATCTTAAAATGGCACCGGGCTACACACTCGTACATGGACAGTTACATAAATCTCTAGCTGACATAATAATTTGCATACGATATTCCACACGATATTTGAGCTGGTGACAAATTACACTCAATACACACGAGTTATCTCCCTTCGAACCATCAACACAGAAAGATTATTAATTTCTATTAAATTTCCACCGTCTGAAAATATTTTTTGAGCAATCTCATTGGTACGAAACTATTTTAGACTTGAAAAAGCATACAAGGTACAGGCAAACTCTGCCTGAGGGAAACCGGGGTTCGTGTAGTTTTAATGTATGAATACTTTTTTTTTTTTTTTTTCAACTTTTCGAATTCGTGAATTGTCCGTGGTCAGTTATGACTTTGTCGGGTATTCCGTGTTGTGGCATTTGGCTGTTCAGATGGTATTGGTCTTGTTTGTGCAAGTTAACCAATTAAACCCATTTTGAGTAGTGGTTAATATTAAATTTGTACAGACCAGCAAAAAAATGATCACGGTCTGTCAGGAACATCGTCTTTCTTCAGATCACAAATGTGACTTTTCGAGAAGGAATTTTCGATATCCGGTGTTTATGCTTTGGCTGAAAAATGTCCGCGGAGTTGCACCTAATATCAACTAAGTGTTATTTGCGTATATTATTCAATATGTAGATTATAGCACCACAAGTTCCACACGCGACACCATGTTCCTGTTTGTGTACAATACGAACGCATGTATAGGACTATTCGTCATTGTGTTGTGACTCGTCGTCTTTAACTACAACTCAGCATCCTTGGATGCTTCGGAATCCGTGGCATTTCAGAGATGAAATTGACTTCGAGAAATAACATATAGCACTGAAAAAATTATAGATGTTCAAAACTCTACTACAAGGGTATACGACAGTTGTTTTTCTTTGTCGACAAACGCACGCATTTCGTACGATACACCAGCGACTGTCTTTAGAATGTTACTCACATTTTCTATTGTGACCTGTTTTATAGAAACCTGGTATGAAAAAAGGTGTTTCGCCTGCCAAATTAGACACCATTCACACGTATTAGTCTAATCGAAATAACTATCTCCCTTTAAATAAACGATGGGGGCGGAGATAGATCCTATAAAGAGAAGGGACATTTTTGAAAAATATGAAAGTAAATATGATATTATTTTTTTGATTGATACACATTCAAAGAAGGAAGTAGAAGGTCATCGAAAATTTGGTTTAATTCTTATACATCAAACAGTGGCTATTCTTTTTAATAATACTTTCAGTTATGTAAACTATTATATCAACATTGAGGGACAAAACAGGCAATATTATTATCTTAGATATCAGCAATAGAAATTTGACACTTGTAGCAGTTTATGGTCCAAATGAAACAAATATTATTTTTATCATTTTTTATCGAATCAATTACAGTTACGTGAAAGTACATCTTTAATTTTAGGGGTTGACTGGAATGCACCACAGAATTATGTAGAAGGCACAAAATTTACGTTAACAGGATTAATGAAGCTAATCAAAAGGAAATTATATCAATAATGGAAACATTTAATTTAGTTTCAAGTTTCAAGTTTTATTTTTACACTCACGCCATACGTATACGTGCGTAGCAAGAGATCACATAATACATAGTATACATTGATGGACATAGTACTCACATAATATGACACATGATACAATTTATACAATAACAACCCATTTCAATAATTCTTTTGGCTAACTTGTTTAGATATTAAGTAGCTTCACTACTCTTTGTATAAATTTACTTACTTTTGTTAAGAGTACCGTGTTACAAATTAAGAACATTCCTTTCATTTTGATATAAGTCGGGTTGACATAATAATAAGTTGGTATATAAAGTTATCTAAGAGCTACAGATACATTAGTACATTGGTATAAGTAGTGGTATTCGTCTTCAACACAGTTATTACATAGGGGACATAACCTTTCCTCGCGTGGGACTCTATTCCATCTTACTGTTTCTAAAGGAAAATTTATATTTGATGTTCTAAATTTACATATTACTTTTCGTTCATTACGATTTAGCTTTAAAAGATATGGTTCAATATTAAACTGAAATTTGAATAAGGAGTTAACTTGCCCTCGCGAGGAGGTTTCAACATCATGAAACCAACTTTGAATGAATTGATCGCATAATCTCTGCTTAATGATATTTTTCAAGCATTGTCTATTAATTGTACATGATATTTGGAAAGTCCATAAATTATTTAATCC